TTTAATAAAAAGTATATTTCTTGCATATCAATTAAAAAAGATAAAAAATAAGACTTTACTAGTATTGCCTTTCATATACAAAATTAAAAGAGGGGATATACTTAAAAAGATATTTTATCTTATTTGTGTTATTAAACAAACAGATATAAAATTCTAGTATCTTAATATTAATCTTCCATCCCCTTTTTGTTAAATATATTTATTTTCAGATTAACTATTCTGTTCTTTGATTAATTAGATAATTATCTATCTAAGAGCCTCCTTTTTATTTAGTGATTTTTATGTAATTCTATCATTATTTACTCCCAGATAGTTTAAAATGATTGTTGAGTCTACTGAGCCTATTTACTAATATATATTATCACTGTAATGTTAATCTTCTTATTATAGCAAAAACTCCTTTAAATTTGCTTAATTCTAGGCTAGCAATTTATATCTCTTTTGATAATTATCCAGGAAGTATAGAATTACATTATGATATATTTTTATTTTTTTTATCTCGAGGTAAATTTTGATTCCTTATTAAATTCAAAATTAATAATATAGAGCACAATTCATATTGTTTAGAACCATTACTAACTATAGGCAATCCTCCAAATATGTTTAACACTAACTGTTACACTTTTTAAGAAATGGTTAAAAATTATTCTGATGTATTTTCTATATTAACTTATGAATAGATTTAAAACCATTCATAGGACATCTATAAAATAGTCAATAAAATAATTGAATAATCTCCAAACTAACCCATTATAATAAATAAACTAGTTTTCATTTCCTTTTTTATCTAAGATCTGTAGAAATTCAGAAAAAAATCAAAAAATCTTCTTATTAAATCTTATTAATTTCAATTTACAAATTTAAATTTTTATTTACAAGTTTAACAATCTAATTCTAAAAATCTTTAAATTATGTTTTATTTATTTTAAGAAGATTAATTTAATATTTTAGAGATTAAGGTCTTTTGTTATATTGGTTTGATTTAATTTCTTAAAACAAATCTTTTAATAGTATTTATGCTTTTTCTTATTATTAACTAAAAAGTTAAATTAAATGATTATTAGATAAATATTCAAACTTAAGTTTAATTGTTTAAATTTATATTTAAATTTATTTTAGCAACTTAATTTTATATTTTTATAGCAGCAGTAGATAAATTAATTTCTTTTATTGAAGCAAATTCAACGATTCTTCTGTTTTAGAAAAGAAAAGATTCGCTAAATCAAATTATTATTGACAATAATAATAATATCCAAAATTTGAAAGAAAAAATAGATGTTAAGATTTTAATAGGATAACTTTAATGTAATTTTGATGAGCCTTTGCATTTTCTCCTTGATCATTTAATAGTATTGCTAATCATAGTATTATAGAATATTCTTCGGTGATAATAAACCTTATAATCATTTGTTATAATTGATTGCAAAACTTTTATGTTTTATCTTACAAAAATGCAAAAAAAATAGGATAATTGAATGTGAATTTTCATAATAACATTATGTATGTAGTTAATTCGAATATATTATGCTGGAGAAAATATTAAAATTAAATAGATTAATTTTAATATGACTTTGATTAATAAAACTTTATTTAAATAACTTTAGTCATATTTATATGATATCTACTGGTTTGTGTATCGAAGAAACTATATAATTCATTTTAATTTAGAATCTATAATTAGCAATCATATATGTCAACCAAATTTGTAAGATAGAGCCTTTTTATAGAGAAATATTTATAAAAAAGAATTATGTTTAGCTGTAATTTGAAATAATTATTTACTTAATTGAAATAACATCTAGTATATCAAGTAGAAAGTTATAAGTCTTAATAGTATCTTATAAAATATAAATGTCTGCCAATCTTTTAGTATTCTAATTTATTAATTTTAGAAATAAAATCAAGCAAATTTAAATAATTTAAGCCAAAAATTATAATTTAGTATCAATTGAGTATAATTCCTATAGCTATTCATATTAATAAAATCAGCATTAATTAGCTAAATTTTCATCGTTTTTTATTGTTTTTGGACTGGAAATTTTACAATATTCAACTTGATATTGCATATATGTAATTAAAAAAACCAATAAATATCCTCCAAATTTAAATATTAATTATTAATCTTCATAAGGAAATACCAGGTCAAGATCATTAAATTAGATCATCTGCAATTTTCAATAGCTATTTCTAATCCTTTTCATTTATGTTCAAATTAATAGAAATAAGGTGAATTTTTACGTATTCTAAAAGTTCTATATTAAAAATAAAAGGAGAAAAAATTTCTATTAATAATTGGTAAACTATTCAATGCAATTATATTAGAATAAAATTTATGAAAAAATATGATCTGAAAAGCTCGTTTCAAAATATTTTGAAATTTATTTAGAATATTTTCATATAAAATATATAATTTATACAAATTAAAATTTTTAAAAACCTGAAATCTTAAAGTTTATTTCAAAAGAGAAATTCATTCAAGTCAGCAAGTATATTGATTTTTAATATGTGTAAATATATTAAAATCAGTTTGTTTTTCGGTATGGAACCTTATTTCTATTTATTATATCTTGTACTTAATTACAATAAATTTTGATTATTGTTATAAATAATTATATTTTGTATTTTTTATTGATTGCGGTGAATAATTTTAGAGATTATATTTTCTGTAAGGCAAGTATTTTGAGAAAAACAGAGATAAATCATATTCAAGTTTTAGTAGTTCATCATATAAATTATTATTAATTATCAAAATTTTCGATGCCATATCAAGTTACTTCAAAATAAAATAAATTGATAAATATACTTGAATTACATCGCTCTAAATTACGTTGACTATAGGTTATAAATAAACCAATGCATATGATCTAATTGTTGAAGATTTACTTTTATTTTTATAATTATGGATTTGTTTATCGTAGTTATTATTATTATGAATTTACAAGTAAGGTATTTTTTCGAATCTAAATAGAGTCTTAAGTAATATTATGTGTATAGCTTCAATGAATAGTTGATTTTAAAACATTCATTTTATATTATTTATAGTTATTTCTGAAATAAATAAGATTGTTTTAATAGAGGGACTATGACAGGAATTTTTTCTATCAAAACCAAAATAATTGGATATAGAAATACAATATGCAATTTTTGCGACAACAGTATCGAAATGAGATATTAGCTGTAATAGCTAGTTTGATAATATAAATGATAGGTGTAGCTTCCAAGATTGCTAATGAAAAACTCTTTTTAATCAGCACTTGATAGAACAAAATACTCTAAACTAATTATCAATTCCAAAAGCAAAGTTTCAAATATTACAGAAATAAAAATGTAATTAAATTTATAAGTTAAATTTAATTAAAATAAATCTTAATAAATTAAAAATAAAAGTATTTATTCATCTCCAAGCAATATCTGCAAGAATTTTAATTTGCCTCTTTCACTACTATTTTGAATCATATTATCAAGTTAGTTTAGAAATGCTCCAATATATCCTAAAATATAATTCACCCCAGTATGAAGTCTTTGAGTTTTATTTTTTAATCACCGTATGATTTAGATTTTTTATCTATATAGATTCTATTAAATATTAAAATTTAGAGGTAAATAAATAGATATTAAAAAATGAATCAAAAGAGATGCTTGACAATATTATTAATTAATCTTTAACTTTTCTTTACTAAAAGCATATTCTCTACAGTTATCTAGATGAAAATGTTTAGATGCAATTTTATAGATAATTCTTTTATAAATTTATAGATAAAATCTTAAATGATTTAGAAATGAGAGTTGATATTAATGAATATATATCAAATGATTATTACATTCTTTTGAGCATAAGAGTATTTCGATGCTAAATACTAACTTTGGAATTACAAAAATGTAGTTGATATCACTCCCTAAAATGATAATTTAATATAAGATAAGTATGATAATTAGACTTTTAAAATATAGGTGTCTTGAATACTTTTAGAAAAAGCCTTTGAAAATTTCTGAATATCAAGTCTACATTAGTAAAAATCATTAAAAAGTATATAGGATTAAATAGTTATAAGAGGATAATAATTAAATATATTTGATATATTTTCATAATGTATATTTTCAAGATGAGAATTTATATTTATGTGTTTAAATATTTGATATATATCTATAATAAATTATAAATCCGCTGATTTGAACTATAAAACCCTTAACTAATTTAAATGATATTAAAAGAAAAACTAGCCTACAGGTAGAATTTGCATATATCTAGTAAATTGAGGAAAGATGTATAAGTAGTGTGTTCTCTAAACCGAAAACTATTGATTACTTTAATTTCTTTATCCGAAAAAAACATGGGATAATGTATTTTAAAAATATAAAAAAATATTTGTATCAAATAAAACAAACAGAGTTTACATTTTGTTACTACTATTTAAACTTAAAATTTTATAAATCAGATAATTTATAATCTTATTTATTATATTTTATTCTCATAATTTCAATTATTTTAAATAATAAATATAATTAATTAATTTAAAAATAGAATGATAGAAATGATTCATTTAATTATTTTTTTTTATATATGGAAGAAATAACAGAAATTTTAAATAAGATATTTTTGCTTCCTTCAGTAGTTTGAAACTTTAGCTAATTCTAATTTTAACGATAATTAGTTATCTATTTAATTATCATTATTCAGCTTTTTTAAATTATTTTGGTTGATTTCAAAAATTTTGATAATTACCTATGTAATAATCACATATCTTGTTGTAGTTTTTTTAAGTAGATTAATATTTCATATCTACAAACTTTTTGTCTTGTTTAAAAATGCCATTTGATGGAATAAATCTAATATTTCAGTTTAATATCCTTTACAATAAAATTGCAAATTTAAATTAATCTAATTATCAATTCATTTAGATTTTAAATAAATTCACAAAATTTATGAATTATAAATTTTGGCAAAAATTAAAGAGTAAGTAGGCAATTTATTGATGATAATTTATAGATATGATTATAATTCATTTATATATTATCTCATATGATTAATATTTTGCACTTTTTTTCTCCCAAAATACAAAATACTATCCATTATTGGTCATAGTACCAGAAGATTCTTCACTTTAGCACTTTAAAGACTTAATAATTTTAAATGTACCATCATTTAACTCTTTAATCATATAGATTTCATGTTTATGTCTTACCAATATTATACTTCTATCTTTATTATGTATTATTGGAAAATTGGATTTATCTTCGCATTCATGATTCCTAATTAAAGTAATTGTTTTATTAGAATTCAATTTAAAGACTCCATTTTCCATTTCATATACTAAAAGATCATTAATATACTTATCTAAAGGTACCCAAAGTAATTATTAATCATTAGTAAATAGAATTTTATATCCACAAATACTTAAAAGACTTTAGTTAAATTTCAATTCCCATTTATCTTCAATTCCTTTCTCCCAAATTATAAATTCTTAATACCCACATGATGCCATAAGAGATTCACTTTAGTTAAAACTTAATGATTTTACACTATTTCCATGTTTATCTAAAGAATACAGAAAAGTCAACTCATTCTTCATAAAATTTACCTACCAAACTATTATTTTTTTATCACCTCCTCCTGAAATAAGTTGATCTTCTTATTTATTTAACATTAAACAATTAACCCATTCATCATGTTTTTAGTATGGTTATGAACAAATCCATTCTTTTTGATTAATTTATTGCCAACAGATAATAGTTTTATCTCGTGAACCTGAAATAAAGTAATTGTTTTGTTTACTATAAACTAAACAATTAACAGCATCTGTATGTTTTTGATATGAAGTAGTTAATTTCAATATTCCTTAATCAAAATTCCATATTTTAATATGATTAATACAAGTTGAAATCATAATTGATCCATTTTTATCAAATACTATTGCATAACATTATGAAGTCTATGAATTTGAATCATCAATTAGTTTAACTTCAACTTATTAATCATTCATCAACTAATCTTATTCCAATTATTTCTATTCACTTCCTATTTATATTACTTATTTTTATTACTACAAATTAATTTCTTAACCTCCTTCAATAGAAATAGTATTAGATTGTATTATTTTAAATTCTTAAGAATCAATTACTTCTTTTACAATGTTTTTCTATTAATTCATTTTTTCCTTCTCATAACATAGTTTTTATTAGTTATTTATTTTCAAATTTTTTTAAACAATTTCAATTTCTTCTTTGATAATTTACTTTATCAAAGGGGTCACACTTTCAATTATCTATGATGAATAGTTAATTTCTGATATATTGATTTAATTTATCTAAGGTAGTTCAATATGTGATTCTGTTGAATTAGTCTTACATGTAAAAGGTATATGAAGTAATGAATCAATTAACTCATCAATTCTAGAGAAACCTGTCTAAAAAGTAATATGAAATATAAGAATACTTCTATTTCATTCCCTACTTCCAAAAAGCTTTCTTCAATTTTAGACATTGTTTTTTAGATGATGGATGATCCTGATGATTAAAAAGATAACATTTATTTATTAGTTTAATTATGTTGTTAATAAAGAAAAGATTTAGTTTATTAATATTAATATTTGATATAATATAAAAATGTTACTTTTTAAAAACTCCCTGATTTTATAAAGTTTGTGCTATTGCCAAAACTAAAAGAGAAGCTAAAACATTAACTTCCTAAGGCTTAGTAATTGTTACCTTGTCCATGAAAAATTACAACCTTGATATTGCTTGATAAAAGTGCTCATATATTATATTTTAGAAGATATATAAAGAAATCGCAAACTTTCCATATTACTCATAAATAATGATAATGTAATGCAAATCAGTGTGAAATCAGAAATTATGTTTCTGGAAACACTATATTTTAGATAAATACTCAAAATAGTTTTTATGAGTTCTACAAGCAATTACATAATCGAGCTCATAAATTTTCATGCTTAAAAAAACCAAACAAATCCTTGAGTATATACTCTATTTTTAATACTTTATCTGTCAAAGAAAAGAAATCTTAGAAATAAAAAGAATTTGAAGGCTGTCAAGTGAGAGAATTCTCTTTGTTATGAATCGAACCAAAAAGGGTGGTTGAATAATAATATAGTAATGATTTATAATTAGTTTCGAAATTTTAGGGGGATTGAGCCATATTCCCATCTGTATTTGCCCAATTTATAATCAATAGACTAATTACAATTTTTATTTATACAAGAAAGGAGTTTTTAAAACAATTATTAAATCGAAAAATCGGTAAAGTATTCAGTTATTTTTATATGCTTTCTAATCTAAGGAGGCAAGAGAAAGCTGATACTCTGCTATATTTTGAAGATAATAAACTCATACCTTAAAATAACACTTACAAAAAAATTTTTGAATAAGATTATTTTTGGCCAATCATTTTATTAAGCTCAATAATATAAGTTTATGATCAATTAATAAATATAATATGTAATTCAAATATTTAAGAACTTTCGAAGATCACTATATTAAATAGAATTAAAAGATATATCTTAATATTTATAAAATCAAATTCAGTTCAAGTCCATATGAAATTCAAACTGAGAATTAAAAGTTTTGTTTGTTAATATTCCAATATTACTAATTAATATAATTCAACACTTGTTTCATTTACATTAAGTAAGAATTATTTAGTTTATTCAAACTTTTAGAGTAAATTTGTCTTAATAATAATTGTTGGTAAATTTTCCTGGCAGCTACGAGTATGAAAATATTACTGCTCATTATTTTATCTAATATAGATTTGAATGAAGTTGTGAATATTTAGATTTTTTTGGCATTAAGCTTAAATTTCAAAGTTTAATATGGATATATTTTAATCAAATTCGATTTCATTTTCACCTTATTTTATGGTTTCTTAATCTATTTAATCACTTTTTAATTATATTGAATGAATATTATTAGAAATCTTAGTTAATTATTAAACAATGCTAATATGATCGAAAGTTAAGGGGGGAATTTTATTGTAATAAACACATTCTCCTTTAAAAATTACCCAATCTTTAATACAAGCAGTACACTATTAATACCCAGGTCCATAGCATTATTCACAATTAATGGAACATTTTCCAATATATAAATCAAATGCATTAATTCCCCAATATTTATTTTAAGTTGAATTTGATAGTGTAGTAAATGTGATTTCCATAGATGATTAAGAATGATTCATTTAAGCTCTAAAATTTAATATACTAACATTTTATTTATTTCCTTGACACTTTATCTCATGGGCTGATTAATTTAAATGTTCGTTTAATAATTCTTAATTGTCAAGCTTAAGAATAAATTAATCAACATCCCAATTGCCAAACAACCAAATTTTGAATTCTACTTAAACAATAAAATGGGAAGTTAAATTAAAGATTGTACTTTAAACTGTTTAATTTGATCCTAATTTATGATATCCACCAGCTATATTAAGACCAGCACATACACTTGAAGAAAGTGTTGTATTACCATCTATTTTCCACTCATCAAACTCACTTGGAGTTATCCAAAATGACTTAAAATGAATCCAAAAGTCACAGGGCAATATATCATCTTAACAATACATACATCCTTTTGGGCATTTCAATATTTCAATTTTAAAATCATTAATCCCCCATGATTCCTAAATTTTTCATTGTTTTACATTTTATGCATTTTAATCTAAATTTGAGGTTATTATTATGAAAATAAATTTTGATGAATGAATCATTTAGATTTAAAAAGTAACATTTTTTTCAAAAGAATCTTTATCAAAATGACCACAAACTTGATAATCTTCAGTCAAATTAAACATTTCTTTTTTTAATTTATCATCAAAAAATATATAAACCCATTCATTATTCCAACTATCTATTCTAAAATAAAAGTTATGATATACTTCCAATATTTGAAAGAAACTTTAACTTGATAGTGAGGAGGAAGACTTGAATTATAAGTAATTAATGTATCATTAGAGAAAGTTGAAAAACCTCCAAACATAGTCTCATTACCACATTTTTAGAATAAAGTTGTGCTATGGGGAACTTCAATGTGCCATCCTAAATTATAATTAATTTATATACCCTCTTTATTAAAATTTCCTTCACTGAAAGCAGAGTATACAATTTCAAATTGATTTTCAGCCTATAACTATATTATTTTTAATAAGAACCAAAATGAAAACATAAAAATGTATATTTTGATTATTTATTTTTTAAATTATTTTAGAATTTATCGTGAAAAATAATAGATTTATTTTAAGGATGATTCAGTTTTAGGTTAAAAAAATATAAGAATTATTTAACAGTTTTGAAAAAACTTTTCATTCAATTCTCTAATATTTGCCCTTAAATTTTAATAAAGTTTCTTTTTTTTGACAAACAATATTAAATCACGATAAAAAATCAATCAATCAATTGTATGTTTCTTTTTTTTTGAACAAGGCTTATCCATATATTTTTGATAATTCAAAATTAGTAAAAATTAAAATTAAATATATCTATTACACAGTATTTATCTTATTAGTCAACTTCATCATTTAATGAGTTGTAGATTGGAATTTAAAATCATTTGTGATAAGTTTCACATCAATTTATTATCAATAATTATAGAAATGGGAATAAAAACAAAAATCATTTTATAGAAAAGAAGATTTTGACATCAAGAACTTCTCGAAATCTAAGAAATTCAATCAAATGTTGATTGTGTAAATTTTTCATTTGTATTTATTCATTATGCTATTTATACACTATTATATCTTCTAAAGTATATATAAATTGTCCTTATTATTCTGTATAGATCTTTCTTATGATCTAATATATCTTTTAAGGACCTATTGATTCGAAAATTGTCCATTAGGCAAATTGAAGCAAGCTAGCAAAAGATCGCTCATCATACAAGATAAATAAATTAGGAGTTGAAAATAAGTTGATTTAAATTAACTTCGCTATCTTTTATTTTTATCAATGATTTTCAAGACTACCTTAAACAGAAGTTAAAACTCTTAAGTATTTGAAACAGTTTGACCTTGTAATACATTTAAGAACATACTTTTCCTCAACTTACTTTAAATTAGTAACATAATTAGTTTGAAATATTTACATTATTTAACCAGCGAGTTCAAAGAAATTACTTAGTATCCAACTAGCCTAGGAACAAAAAGTAGAAATAGCTACATCATCAGCAAAGACAAAAATTTTACTCCATAGATGTTATTTTAAAGTAAATCTTTTTCTTCGTTCATCCTTCTCAATTTTCTAAAATGCATTTAAGTCTAAATATTCTTTGTAGGTCTTCAATTAATCAAAGTAAATATCATAAAGATATTTTCTTCTCAACATGATCATAAATATTAGTTATCCATATATCCAATTCAAGTCCTTAAAGTTCATTTTAATTTAAAAAGCTTTAGCATTTACTTTTTTATCCCAAAAATTAATATTTAACTGCTTATATAAATTTCCTCTAGAGAGATTTGTGAACATTAAAAAGTCATCTTCATGTATGTTAAAAATTATAATTAAATTATTTTTATAATTTTGAAAAAATTTACAATATCAAATATAAATCAGATTGCTCAAATTTTAATTCTTCATTTTTTAAGTATAAGTAATAGTAATTTATTCATAAAATAAACAGTTCCATTTTCAACTATCAAATCTAAAAGTCTTTATTCCATCATTAGTAAATAAACTATTATTAAGAAGTATGATTTTGCAATTTAATAGAATTCGAAATATAAAAAAAATATATGATAAAGATAAGAGAACTTAGAATATAATGTTCTATCTAAGGACATAATTATGTTGAATTAGCTTGTATGAATTAATCCTGTAAGGCCAATAGAGTTTATTGTTATTAATGTCTTAAGAATGGAGATCATGTTACTCATATAAAGGATTAAAAGAATTTAAATGAACTCATCAATTTTTTTAATACAATTGAGCAAGATAGTGATAGTTTAATATTAAAATTATGTATGATGGTTGGAGAAATAAATGAACTATTCTCTTAATTAATAGTGGGACTAAAAAAAAAATATCAAAGCCTTAAAGAAAGGATTTTCTAATTTAATGCAATATAATTGAATTAAGCTATAGATTAAGTGGTCAATTATGATGAAATTCAAATAGGTTTATTAGAAGACATAAAGAAATGCTCAGATGATCTGATAATGGGATTAAAAAGAAAAATAACAGAATTAAGACTAGAAGAATTAAATTATTCTCAATTGAATTAATAAGAACTAGATAAAGTAGAAGAATTATATTAAGAAGGTAATAGATGACTTATTTAGGATTTAAATTATATTATGATTAGAATAAATTTTAAGAAGCAATTAAATTATTAGATGCTGCAATATTAATTAATCCGTATCATGTCAATTCATTAAGTATAAAATGTATGAAAACATATCAAAATTTATTAGCTAAATGTTTATGCAGCCTTAAAAACTATTAAGAGGCAATAGTATGGGCTGATAAAGCGTTGTCTATAGATTCAAGGAATCTTAATTCATTAACTACAAAAAGTATAACAATTAAGATAAATATTAGATTATTGTTTAAGAATGATGTCAAATTATTAAGAAGCAATTATATGGGTCGATAAAACTTTGCTTATAAATTTTAGGCATGTAAATTCATTAAGTACAAAAGGTATATACATCTTATATAAATATATTAGCTGAATGCTTAAAAATGCTTGGTCACTACAAAGATGCTATCATATGGGCTGATAAAACTTTGACTTTAGATTCACATAATGTAAGTTCATTAAATACAAAAGGTATGTGCATCTGATATATAAAGCTGAATGCTTAAGAATGCTTGGTGAATACAAAAATGCTATTATATGGGCTGATAAAACTTTGACAATAGATTCTAAGAATGTAAGTTCTTTAAAGACAAAAAGTATGTAAACTTAATAAATATATTAGCTGAATGCTTAAAAATGCTTGGTGAATACAAAGATGCTATTATATGGGCTGATAAAACTTTGACTTTAGATTCACAGAATGTAAGTTCATTAAGTACAAAAGGTATGTGTGTGTATCTTATATTTAAATATATTAGCTTTATGTTTAAGAAGGCTTGGTAATTATAAAGATGCTATTATATGGGCTGATAAAGCGTTATCTTTAGATTAAAATGATGTCAATTCATTATATACAAAAGGTTATTTAATATTTTTAGAATAGGGGCATCATTAAGAAGATTAAGTAAATTTGACGAGGCTCTTTAGAGTTTTAATTAAGTATTGAATTTTAATCCATATCATGATTAATCTCTAGCTGAAAAAGGTTTAAATATTATAATTATTTATAGGAGCCTGCTTACAATCTTAACATAAATATTCAGATGCCATTACTTATTATAATTAGGCTATTTTAATTAATCCAAATTTTTAATCAGCAAAAAATTTTAGAGGTAATTTTCATTAATTTAAATAGCTTAATGTGAGAAACTACTCATGTCAAAATAATAAATTAAATGATTATTGAATATTATATTTGTACAAATTCACTAAAATAGAAGTTACATCTATTTGTTTCTAAATATTTCTAATTCTCATAGATATATCTTCAATCAAACAAATCCTTATTTTCTTAATGTATTCTGAAATTAAATTTAATAAATAAATAAAATTCCATTTGGAGTAATTTTTAGATTATAAAAATATTATTTTTTTTAAATGATTCTCATATTATGAATTACTTTCTTAAATGAATAAACCTTTTCTAATTTCTTAAGCTGAAAATATGAGTAGATATAACTTGAAAAATTGAATATTGATCATTAAATATACTAGATATTCTACTATTGTTTGAAACATTAAAAAAAATGCCTTTCAAATTTAAACTAGTATTTTTTATAAATAATAATTACGAGAAAATTTAATTTTTATTTTTTCTTTTATACTCTTTGATGTAGCTTAAATTAGGATGCTGTGCTGTTTCCTCTTTTATAATATTTAAATTCTTTTCCTAACTATTTATTTAGTGTTCTCTTGCTTTCATATCCTAAATTTAATTTGCGATGTAATTTAACAATTAACAACAATTTTATTGATTTTAAAATCCATTTCTTGGATTTATAGATTTCAAAAATTATTTTCACTTTCAAAGATATCATTAAACAGGCTCCTATATCAATTAATTATGTATTTTTTATAATATAAAAGTAAAATATTTTGAATATTAATTGCACTTTAATTTAATATTATTAATAAATGATTGATTATCATTAGATTTCTATGATTTAAAGTCTTGCTTTACTTTTAAAATTCTCGTAATGCTTATTAAAATTGATTAATTCATATATGTATTTGATTGATGATAAAAAATATTTAGATATAAGCAAGGAGATGCAAGATTGATAAATGAAGCAACAAATAACTTAGGAGAGTTTTAATTCTTTTAATAAACTACCATATGACAGTATTATTTCATTCTAAATTATAATGGTTTCAGAAGTTTTAAGATTCTAAATATTTTATAATACTATAAATACACATATGTGGATTAGGTATAAAATGATTGCCATTAAATAAAATTTCATAATTTAAGATTAGTATCCTAATGGTTTATGAAAGTTATACTAATTGTTAGGCATATTATTTTGTGTTAGCTCATTGATATCCCTTCATTTCAATTTACTTTATCTATTGCTGGAAATAACATTTAATTAAAATATTTAGTAATCATTTAGCAACTTGAACCAACGGGAATATGCTTTTGACTTATGGCTATTGCCCAAATAATTTTAAACTATGTGAATTATCGTTTTTTGATATCTTTTGATCATAACAAATAAAAGTTAAATATGTTATCCAACCTTTTATAAATTCAGAGATGATTAATGTTAGCTTGCACTGCTCCATATAAAAATTAATGGTTCTTATTGTCAAGGTTATTAAGATGAAACACCACGTAAAAATACCATATTCTTAGATTCTAAATATTTAATTTAAGAATACTAATCTTATTATTAATATATACTATAATTTTAACAACATGCTCTTATCTCTAATAAGGGATAACTTTTATAAAAGGTTCTGATATCTTATATTCTATCTATCCCTTACGGACTTACTTAATTTTTGGGGGCCAATTATTTTGGCTTAAACCAAGTTTTCTAGGGTGCATTACATTATTCAACCACTCCATAGTATTATAATAGGATTTGTATATATTATTGAAGCAAAATTATTTGGAAAATAATACCAAATATAATTCAAATTCAGGACAATCATTATATGATTTAAGCTTATCTTTTTTTTACACTTTTTTAAATAAAGGAAATAATATAAGTAAAAAAAGCTCATATGTAATTAATTATGTTCTAAAAATTGAGTTGAGTATAACTATTTTCATAGTTGTATTT